GTCATTGACTTGGAGGGGCTGATGGCGGTCTCATTCTCATTGATTTGTAGATGGCCTGTTACTCTCCTCTCTGAAAGCTTTTGGGATCTTTTTCCTTGATGTCTAGAAATTTTCAGAGGATTTGTTTAGGTGGAAGTCTTTATTTACCCTTTTTTTTTTCCCCTTCATTTTTCTAGTTCTGGAATAATCTCTTATTTCCTTGATTATTTCTTCCTTTCGTCTTCTCTGTTCTCTCTTCCTGAAATTCATACTAATTGGGATCTGCTGGGTTGATTTCTAATGCCTCTTAGGTTTTCTCTAATGTCTCTTAATTTTCATTTTCTGATTACATTAAAAAAAAACTTTCTAGAAGATTTCTCAAAATTATGTTCTAGCCCCTGGGTTAAATTTTTGTTTTGGCAGTGTTCTCTGTAATTTCTGGGAGCTTGTGTTTTCTGAGTTATCTTTTCTCATAGCATCCCACTGTTTTCATCATGCTATCTTTTGACATCTTTGGGGGCACTGGGAGCCTCCCTGGTCATCTTATGCTAACCCATCCCTGACAGCATTTGAGAGAGGATTTTCAGAGAACCTGGAATTTATTTTTTCTTACTTTAAATAAGAAAACCAGAGTAAACACCTATGTAACAATCCACTAGGGATTTTTGAGCGCGCCGAAGCATTTAACATGTTAATTGCCTATTTTCTAAATGTCTTAGGCTGGGTTCTCTAGAGGAGCAAAACCAGGGAAGCATGTATATTATGAATATATATAACCCGTTAAAACCTGTCGCTGTCAAGTTTGTTCCGACTCATAGCGACCCTATAGGGCAGAGTAGAATTGCCTGAGTAGGGTTTCCATGGAGCAGCTGGTGGATTCGAACTGCTGACCTTTCGGTTAGCAGCCAATTTCTTAACCATTGTGCCACCAGGGCCCTGTAAATATATATATAGAGATTTATCTCAAGGAAGTGGCTCACACAGTTGTGGAGGCTGGCAAGTCCCAAATCTGTGGGTCAGGCATCAGGCTTCTCCAGACTCAGGTGGTTGCAGGGGCTCATGTCCCAATAACTGGAGGTCAGAGGATGATGAGTCAGATGCAGGATCCAGAGAGAGCTTTGCCAGAACATCCATATATATTGGATGCAGGCCACAGCCCCAAGAAAACTGATTGGTTTTCAGCTGGTTGGCCTTTCAGCTGATTGGCCTGGTGGGGTGTGTCTGAGCCTCGCACAGGCCTTCCCTTCAGTGATGACCCTCCCCCATCCACTCAGAGTGGAACCACCACATGGACTCTTGGGCTAGGATTTCCTGGGTCTTTGCAAACCCTGTCATAATTTACTTTGTCCCCTTTTCTGGATAATTGTTACTGTTTCCGTTTGGAGGGGTTTTCTAAGTCTCTAGTACACACACCAAACCAAAACCAAATCCATTGCTGTGGAGTTGATTGCGACTCATAGCAACCATGTGGGACAGAGTAGAACTGCCCCGTAGGGTTTCCAAGGCTGCAATCTTTATGGAAGCAGACTGCCACACCTGCTGGTGGGTTCAAACTGCTGACCTTTTGGTTAGCAGCCGAGTGCTTAACCACTGCACCACCAGGGCTCCTTGGTACACACACACATAATGTGAAGCAGTTTCTGAAATAGAAATCCTATTGCAAATACTTTGGTAGCTGAATTGTGATGTTTTGGTATTCCTTTCTTTTGTTTAAACAGATGATGCCGGAGGGTCTTGAAATGTTTAAAACCAATAAAACCTGCAACTTGAAAACCAGCCTTCTGTAACCACAGTGCCACACACACACGATGAGGAATGTTCAGAGAACTCCGCACGGGATCTCTCAATTCTGGACCATCATACACCCCAAAAGAGCTGTGTGGGAGCGAGGCTGGGTGCGGGAGCCCACTGTGTCTGACCGCTAGGAGGGAGGCGCACGCTTCAGGTACACTTTGTAAGGACAGATGGACAGCTACCTCAGGAACCAAACCGGGGCAGGGCCACACGCCCTCTTTATCAAGGTTGCTTTTTCCAGTGAAACGGGGAGAGTAAGACCGTCCTCGCAACAGTGGTTGCCAAAGAGAAAACAAGAACCCACTTACATTCTATGGTTTTCATGTGGAAACATCTGTTACTGTAGAAAAAAATTAAAGGTATGTTTGTTATACTGTTAATAGCGAAGAACAAGTGGATTCTGCACGCCCCTGGATCAGCTAGTGAGAATGGCATTTTTAAAAAACGATTAGCTAAAGAGGGCTTCTTTGGAATGGTGTCATTTTAGTGACTTCAGTTCCAGAGAAAGGGCAGGTACACTGACGGCTCAGCGGTGTGAAGTCACGAGGAGCCAGAGGCCTTTTCAAGGTTCACTTCAGTGTCGCACACGTCCATCTGGGGACATTGCCAGTGGGCAAAAGACCACGTTGCTAGCTTTTAGTTACAGTATAAATGCCAAGCTTTTTAAGTCTTTATTTGTGGATGAGGCCCAACCTTTCTATTCTCATCTCCGGAAGCTCTCCTCCCGTGGCCATGGTGAGGAGCTGGTTAGTGCTGTGGCCGGGAGCTTCTGTGGCCGGAGCGAGAGCTGGCTGTCTCCGCATCCCGGCCCTGCTTGGTCTCCGCGCAAAGGCTGCCAGCTTTTGATGCGGCATTTCTCGCCAGGCCTGTGCCACTCCCCGCCGGTGGCACTGGAGCTCCCCACAGTGTCCAGAGAGTTAACAACAAAAGGAACGTGAAGGCTGGGATGGAGTGTGAATGAGAGAGAAGCCAGAGACCCGCCCAAGACCATTTTACTTTCCTTTCCAAGCATGGAAAACACATCTTTGTCACTCTGGTCCTGAATAAAACGTTAACTGCGACCCTGTGTGCTCGGCGTTTCCCCAGGTACGAGGCGGCTTGACGTTATCTGTTTAATGAGGAGTGTAGCCTGAGTTCCCACTCAGTTGTGAAACTAAGTCAGTGATTACTTGAATGTGTTTTAAATCTTTTACAAAGCAAACACTGTAAAGTGTTTACACGGTGCAGTCAGGGGTGGCGATCCTAATCTGAGAGGACTGGAACGTAGCGTGTCACGAGCACGGAAGGGGACGATCAGGACACAGAGCTGGAGAAGTCAGCCGGCGATTCACGGGAATCTCCAGCGCTCCCAGGAGCCCCTGTAATGAGGGACTGGGTCTGAGCCAGTCCTGCTGTCACGCTTGTTTAAAATGCAGCTGTTCCTCACGACTGATCCCAAAGGGCGCACTGTGAGGGACACACACTGCTTATGTTCAGTTCTGTGAGAAACAGGTTGGGACCACAAATTATGGCCGTTTGCTTATTCAAGCTAGAATGGTTTCTACATTTTTAAATGATTCCATTTTAAATAATCATACAGGTATCTCTTTAAGAGCCTCCTTGCTGCCTCACCAAACCCTAAGGAATTTGTCTGGCCCTTTAAGATGCGGTTTGCTGACCCCTCGCAGGTGAATGGAAACCTTGCCCAGCTGCATGAGCTGCTCAGGAAAACGCCACAGGCCACACACACCCGGCCAGTTGCTCTCCCTGTTCGGTCCCCCACACCTGCCCCGTCTGGGTGAGAATGTGAGCCCCCCCATCTCGGTCCCCCACACCCGCCCCGTCTGGGTGAGAATGTGAGCCCCTCCTTCCACCGCCACAAGCAGCAGCCTTGTCACGCTCATGGCCACAAGTCAACGGAAGGTCGTTTTCAAGAGCGAGCACCCTGTTTGTTATCTGTGTGCCTCTTAACCACTTAATGTGTGTAAAGCTGGCTGGCGTTTCCGTTAGGCTCCTGTTGTACGTGTCGCTGAGGTTTGACCGTTGGGCCCCAACCCATTCCCCCAAGCCCTGTGGTTTATGGAGTCTGCCCTGCAACAGGGTGCTGCGCTGTCCCGAGCTGACTGCTCTGAAGGCTCACTGGCGTGGAGGCGTTGGTGTCAGAAGAGAGTTAGGATCGCCCAGCAAGAGCCAGGGGTCTCATGTGAGCCCCTGGCAGCATCTACAGGACATTCAGAGTTCAAGCTGATGTCTCTTCCAGAGAGGGAGAAGCAGGGGACTCAGACGCTGTGGCCAGCACTACACAATCAGCAGTGACCCCAGATTCGCCCGTGAGGGCAGGAACCGTATCTTGTGACTTAATCTGTCTCTCAGGCACAGAATGTGTTCTGTTGTTACGGGCAATGACGATGAGCTGCTGGGAAGCAACTCCATCACTTCAGGAGGCTGCTCGATGGTTAGCTCCTGGACACAGCACAGTCTTACTGAGGAGACCACCACGGGCGTCCTAGAGTTTTTCAGCTCCATTTTGAAACGGAAATGAAGTACTGTTGAAAATTCTGCATCTTTCTTTCCTGCCCAGAACAGTGGATTTGAGAAGCCAGTTGTTACCTGAGAAAGCCTGTGTTTTCTGATATTTCCTTCTTAACAAATTATATTAGAAACATTTAGATTGCATTGGAGCAGACACATTTCAATTTTACCATTAAAATGGTTTTTAGTTTCCAAAGTTATAGATTGGAGATGTTTGAAACTTTTTTATTGATATCTTCAATATTGATAAACAGTTCCTCTGAAATGATTTTCCATAAAACAACTAACCACTCTATCATTTAAAAACTAAGATTACTTAAATGTGCCAATAGTTAGCAACTTACTAGATTGTTTACTTAAATAATGGTACAAAATTGTTAACTTTTTCCTTAAACTCATTCAAAGTTAACTCTCACTGGAAACTCCCTGCAAGGGTGGACCTTAAACACGCCTTCCCTGGAGGAGCTACAGCTGCGTTGGTCTTAGGTACAATTTTTCTTAGCACATGAGGCTGCTCCTTCCTGCTCAAGAAGTCATTACGCAAGAGCTGTGTGAAGGGCAGCGTGGGAACTAAGCCGTGATTAACCTGACCACTACATGACTGTCCCGTGGCTGGGAGTTGACAGTGGCTCACGAGGGCACTCGCTCCTAATGGGACTCCTGGTGTCTCTTGCTTTCTTGGCCTTCGGTGTCTGGATACTGAGAGAGATCAAGGGTCAGAACCCGGCTGAACATGTAGTCATCGTGCTAAAAAGAAGACGTCAAACGTCAGTTTCCATATTGAGGGAAGAAGCATTAGTAACTGTAAAACAGGGCATTAGGGATTCTGGGTTTGCATCTATTTAAAAAGCCTACAGGTACCCACCTACAAAGGTCACACTCAGTCATCTGCATTTACACCAACTATTTGTTTTGTGGAGCCCTGCTGGTGTAGAGTGGTTAAGAGCTCGGCTGCTAACCAAAAGGTCGGCAGTTCAAATCCACCAGCCACTCCTCGGAAACCCTCTGAGGCAGTTCTACTCTGTCCTGTAGGGTGGCTGTGAGTCAGAATCGACTTGATGGCAATGGTTATTACATTGTTCTGTATTATGTATCTGGCATGAGGCTTTCCATTCTTTCAGGAAACCTGTTTCCCGGTGGGGGTCACTCCCATTCTGTAGGCACAGGAAGGTTAGTTAATTCTTACCTGAGCTTAAAGCAAAATTCAAGAAGAAAAACCTAACTCTAAAAACCAAACGACCTGAACGAGCTGCTTACTCCGTGAGCCCACAGAACATTCTGAGTGGCTTGATTAAGGAAGGTGTGTCCGATTCTAAAAGCTACTGTAGGACCTGGGACTCCTAATAAACGTCTTGGTTTCTTTCTCTGAGACCTTTGGAAGATAAGCGGTCCCTTGCTAGTTCTACCACAGTGTGTTTGTTTTTGTTTAAAACCTCCAACATTAGAGATACGAAATACAACATCACCAGTATAGCCTACGTGTGACTTAACATGTACTGTTCACAAAACAAAACTATCATACCTACTGTTTTGCAATGTTCAGTTTGCTTGTTTCATTTAAAATAGCTCTTAATTCTCTGTACTGTCACAGAAAAATATTTGAGTAGTTGGAAATGTTATTGGATCACAAAATCATTTAAGCCTGTATCAGGTGCAGAAACCAAACAGTATCTCCAGACTCCATTTATAACTTTTTCCCCTATTATAATTTTGAGATACATTTTTTAAAATTGTGGTAAAATACACATGACTCAACACATGTGCCTTTTCATCCACTTTGTGTGTATCAGTCAGCAACACTAATTCCCTTCCCCGTGTTGTGCATCCGCCACCACAGCCTGGCCCACCTGCGTTTGGGAGCTTTAATTGGAAAGGCCCGGCCCGCCAGGAAGGAGGCGAGGTGATGTTAAGTTCCCACCCCTGCCCAGTTTGTTCTTACCTCCGGATAGATGCCGATGAGTGCGTCGGCTCTGGAATAGAGCTCCTCTTTTAGGGAGATGATTATCATCTGGAACTGCTCCTGAGTCTGTTCTTTGATGTAACTTGATACCTGGGAAGATATAAAAAGCACCGTTTTACCAGCAAGGAGAAGGAGGCCTGGTTTCTGGGCACAGTGACTGCATGTCAGTCCACCATCACTGCAGAAATTGCAAATAGATTCTAAAATATGAGGTAAGTAAAAAAGTAGAAACCTCATTAAATCCATGATGTAAAACTAAGTATTTTTACAAAATAAAGCTCTAATTTAGGATACTACTGTGTGACTGTGCAATCAGCCTTTGTAACACGATAAAAACCACCATTTGAATATTTTATGAGGGTGAAGGGGCTGGTATTTAAACTTCCAACTTCCTATTTTGCCAACTCAAAGCCTGAAGATGGGGGAAAAACTGCGGCAATCTATGTATTTGTAATTGGTAATCAAGTCAGTTGGTTAGAGGTGAACTCGGTGGCTCTTTCAGGAAGCTCAATTCCAAGGTTATGGAGTAATAAGAACAAACGGGTAGAAAGGGGTCTTGGTGAACAAGCTAGTGAGAATTCGGAGGAGGACAGTGAGGAGCCCAGCTGAAGGAGCAGGGGTGGCAGCTGCAGCTGGGGACTGCATCACCGGTTGAGGTGAACAAGGAGGCCGAGTTCGCAGGTGGAGGGGACTCCAGCCCGAGAGGCGGTGGTCGCACCTCCTGGGATACGGGACTGAAAGGCCTGGGCGAGGGGACGGGATGCCGAGACCTAGGGCATGCGCTCTGCTCGGAGGGTTACCTGTTAGTGAAACCTGGGAGAGCCGGAACTTGACAGGACTGCTTTGTTCTTCCCCGGTCATGCAAGTTTTCCGCCTTTGACAGTGACAGGGTGCAGTCCTTAACCACTTTTCAAATACTCGTTTTATTCAACTGCTGGAAGATATTTGAGTTTTCCTTCTCTGACAGGTATCCACCTTACACAGGTTCCGGCTTCGGCAGGTTTTACTGTACAGATGTCGGGCACCCTGATCACAGGAGGCAGCGGAGGCTACTTCACAGCTGCTCCTACTGCACGAAGGCTCACACACGGCACTGGAGTGCCGGGAACACGGGTCTCAAAGGGAAACGAGCATTTAGGTGTTTTAGTACGTGGGCTGGGCGTCAGGAGTCTCAAGGAAGACCTAGTGCCTGCAGGTGCCACCAAAACCAACTCCTAAACTGTGTCAGAAGATGCAGATACCTTAAATGCCAGTGAGGAAAGAGTCCACAAACGTCCCCTCCCACAGGATATGGGACATGCAGCGCCACAACTAGCCTGGCAAGGGGGCGGCCTGAGGAGCCAGGCAGGGAGCCAGTCACCCGACGCAGGTGGGCTGGCGCTCGGCAGAGGCAAAGCAGGATCTGTCCCTTTCCCCTGTTCCTTCTCCAAGTTACCAGGAAGACTGATGGTTTGGGGCCAGTAATAGGATGTGGCTCTGGTCTGTCCTTTGCATGAGGTTCAGGGGACTGGGGATTTGTTGGTTTTCTACATTTTGTGGGTACGAACCATGGGATATGTATCCTGCTGACTGTGACCTGCTGAAAAAGCA